AAGATCGGTTTTAACGAATATGTTAGGTTGTCCCAGAAGTTCGTACCACTTTCAAGCATTTTTTGGAGTCAACATGATCTCAACACAAAGCAATATCCATCATCAATATAGGACCACGCTAGCAATGACTTTTGCCAGCGATACACCGGAGAGTCGATTCTGTGATATCAAAAGGTCGGCAGTTTCATGCTGAAAAAGACAGTGAGGTCAACTTCGAGCTGCTTTGAATCATATTTTTTGTCTGTAAGATGATTCTTTAGCAAGAAGAAAAGATGACTTTTGGAAGGAGGCTGATCACTGCTGTACGGTGGATCTGGTAGGACCTCTCATTTGAGCTTCCAAATATAGAGCCTGAGGCGGGCAGACCATCATCAACCGTATATTTAGCGGTGTGTCACGGAAAAGTGTTTTCGCCTTGGATGCTGGATTTCTTCGCGCCACTGAAGGATTCTACAAATCTTACAATAACATTAAAGTTTTCCCATTCATAGAGTTTCGCATCTACCCGCATGTTATGCTTTTTATTTGCCTGCCCACAGAAAAAGTCAAAAAATGACAGAGAACTGAAGACTTCGCAGGCTTTGGGAAAGATTTGCCAAATAGAAGTGTACACAACTTTATGAGATCATAGTTTATAACAATGATAGAGCATAGTCTATAAATACAAAAAAACCGAGGAAGAAGCGAGGGATGAGAGAAAAACTGGATAACATGGCCGCGACACACATACGTCCCACGCCGTCCCATGGACCTGCAAACTGGGACGTACGTGTCCTGTGCCGTGGTCAACGTGTTAAACCCCTTCACAACGAAATTGTGTTTTATATTTTATGTTTATTACGGTGCAGAAGGCACACTCAAGAAAAAAATCGCAGTTACAACTAACGTAAAAAACACGATGAACAGTAACAAAACAGGCAAACGAGCTACAACCTTACTGTAGTCTAACAGGGAAAAGTAATTGTGAACAGGTAAGGAGAAAATCTTCCACGAACGACAGTAGCACGAGGTAGGACCATCCACTGAAGACCGCTCGATATGTGCTGTCCATTGGCAGCGCTGGTGAACATGCCCATTGGCGGGCGTAGAAGAGAAGTGAGAGAATGTGACAGTATCATCTAGTGGAGGAAAGGACTAGGTGGAGAATGATAATGTCCATCATGGTCTACTGTAGTAGATGGAAACAGCAACGTCTAGGCTTGGCTGTGATGACGTGCACTGATCTGATCGGCGGAGTACGTATGCGCCCGACTGTCCGCCGCCTTGTCGCGATGCCATTGACGCAGGCCTAAGGCAATGCGTATGTGTAAGCGTGGACGGCGCTCGGAGCCGTGATTTCCAACTGATGACGGGATCGAGGTTCTCGGCTCGATCTGCCGCAAACTGATGGGGGTTCTGGTTCTTT